GCATTCAGCACTCCATGTCTTTCTGATAAGAGCAAATCAATGGTGAAATATGAAATGCTTGTGTCTTCTTTGGGGGACACTGTATCTATTCTCTTCTATTTAATCCACTTGTTCACCCAACAATTAGGCTTTGTACACCAAATGCTTGAGCACTGGCTACATACAGGCATACAAGGGTATTCAAGGTAGCTCTTTTCGGAAGTCGGTGTGGCAGGGATACAAACCCATCAAAATAATAATAGCAAATTCTTATGCTGGACACTGTTCTGAGTGCTTTATATGCATTTGTTGATTTAATTCTCATAATGGTCCCAGAAAGTAGATCTATTAGCATCCCCGTTCTATAAATGATGAAACTTAGGCATTAAGAGGTTAAGAGATGTGCCCAAGGTCACATAGCTAGTAAATGGTGGAGCTCGGGTTCTAACCCAGAGAGTGTGACTCCAGATGTGTTACCACTACTGCAGGCAACCTCTCTGTGGCCTCTTGTGAACAATAAAGGAGAATGAAGTGATTGCTGTTAGTACAGCTAATGGTGGATGGCATGAAGGAGGAATGCATCAAAGAGACAGCTGTCTATCATTTACAGAATCTAACTTAAAAAATAAAGACGTGAATAGGAAAGAGCCTCAAATCTCTCTTGGTGTCACTCATCCTCTTAAGTGGCCACTCTGTGAGGACATTTCTCCTCTCAATTCCTTGAATTTCTCAGTCTACAAAATAAACCCCTTTTACTTCTGCTCTGTTCTCCAGAGAAACAAAGAAGTTGGAAGAAACAGATTTGCGCACTGTCGGCGTGGAAAGGAGAAGAGAGCAACAGATTTCTCTGACAGAGGTAGAGGCAGGCTTCCCACCCTTTGTGCACATCAATGCATGGTGGGCGAGGCAACAGCGAGCGGGCTGCTGCTTCTTTGCGGTTACCTACGGATGAAACAGTGACCGGCTTTGCCTTGCTTAGTGGCTGCTGGAAAGGAGGGTCAGGGCCTCCTTTGAGGGTCACTGGAGTTGAGCGATGGGGCTGCTGCCTTGCATCCCCTGTGAAACTGAGATGGAAGTGGGCTTAACGGCAGTAGTTGGAAAGAGGAACCAGTGACTTGAAGCCGTGCTGTCTTCTAAATGAGGACTATAACAGGTCCATCCTGACCACCTCCCAGCTTTTAGCGTAAATCTGCTCTTTGCAAGGCCTATACAGGTGCTGAGTGCTGAGGATGCAGGAAAGAATAAGGCCTGGATCAACTTCCTGATTCTCACAGAGATAGCATTCACGTTCTATTGATAAGTAAGAAAACATTTAAATCATGCGTGTGTATCTATGTGCGACTGGGTTGTGTTATTTTACCTTGCTAGATGCAGCGAACTCTGATCTAGTCTGTTCTGTTCCTTCTCACTTAAAATGCTGATCAAAACTACTGAATTAATATTTCAATCCACTAATGTGCAGTGAATCAAGTTGTGCAGTTAGAGAAATGCTAGTCTGAAGAACGTTAGTCTGGAGAAAGGCACTTAATATGTATAGTTACAAAACAGTGCATGAGTGCAGCTACAAAAGAATGAACAAAATGTATAGAGGCTTGGAGAAACCACGTGGGGCCTGGACAACGCTCCCCTGTGTTCTTTCTACCGCCTGCTGTGAGGGCACACACTGCACACCCCACGGGAATAACGGCTGGCTCTGTTTCCAGGCGTATCTCTCACCAGCCTCTCAATCTGCTCTCATCCCTGCAGTCTATAGACACTGCTTCTGGGTGGCCCTGAGCCAACACCATCATGAAACCATCTATGAGTTTAGAGACAGCGCAGGGATGGATGAGCGGCTCAGCTAGAGCCTTTCCAGCTCTAGAATTCTCCCATTTGTCAACAGCACCCTGAGCATGGGAAAGCTTCCACATCGACAACTTTATTCATCAGGCTTTGCCCTTTAGTGTCTTTCTGGCTCAGCACTGGCAGGTTCTGAGTGAGAAGGGGAGGAGGAAGAAGATTTCAGAGGAACAGAGCAGGGCAGCAAGTGGCAAGAAATAAATAAGCAATAACTGTTGGTAGCTGATACAGAATGAAGATGCAAGGTGTAGAGGCGATTCAACTCCAGTGCACACATTTAGTCTCCTGGGGAGTGCTGCCAATGAGTCCCAGGGCCAAGTGCCAGAGAAGCAGAAGACCCCTGAGGGAGCTCACTCACACTCCTGTCTCAACAACAAGCCCAGGCATAGATTTTATTCATGAGCTGGATAGACACTGGAAAGGGAGAGCATTTGTGCTGATGAGTAACCATGAAGAAAATCAGAAAGAATAACATAGGAGTATATGAATACTGAACTTCCAAGAAAATGCCTGGTAGCCTCCTGGAGCCAAGAAATGTGATTAAGAGTTAGGCTTTGGAGTAAGGGCAACCTTGGGACAAATCCTGGTGTCACTATTTCCTGTGTGCTCTTAAAAAAATGCCTGAGAACAGAGGAGAGTAAGACCCAATCCCAGACTTCTGGAGGTTCACATCTACTGCTTAATTTTCTGGGCCTCAGTTTCCTTATTGGTAAACAGGAATAATGATAGGACCTACCTGTTAAGGCTGTCATGGTGATTGATATCAGAATGAATGGAAAGAGCCTGGCTGAATCGTGGTATATGCTGGTCACAGTTTGTCTGTATAACTTTCGGTAGTAAGAGGTGATGGAAAACACGACAAAGGGGGCTGGAAAATGGTTATGACCATGTTAGACTCCATCTGTAAGTTGCATCCTCTGCTTCTGGAGGGCCTTAGAGCAGAGTGGTAGATACTAGAGGTGATGATGGTTTCACCTCTATCTCAAAGAAGTAGTTCTTTGGGAAATTATAGTCAGTGTCTCAAAGCCCTTCTGGGTGTTCCTCTGTAAGTTCATTCCAATTTTGTTCAAACCCCAACACATATGTCAGAGGTAACTCTGCTGAGCTGTGTGGAATGGAGGAGGCCCATTCAGAAACCAAACAAAATGACCCTCGTTTGGGGGCTGGAGTGGAGAAGGCTTTGTTGCCAGGCCACCAGGACTCTCCCCACCCCCTGTAGGCAGATGAGATGCCCTGGCAACTGAGAGCTGAGGCCTCACAGCTGAAGGCTGAGGAATGGATCCTGACAGCTGTTGGGAATTCCTTTTTCTTAAATCCATTACTTGGAAACCTCCCTTTAAGATCAGTCTTAAGCTGGCAGAGCACTTTGTCAGGAGCCTTAACCCTGGGGGTTTGAAATGGAGAGAAACACAACTGCCCAGTGCTGGCCCAGGATGGTTCTAAACATCTTCCTAGGTGGGGCCTGCTTGAGGATGATGGAGCAGGAAGAGATATAGAAAACACTCCACAGAATTTGAAAGGGTCATTAAAAAATAAACTCCAAAATAAACATGATCAACAACAACAACAAAAAGTGACACTCTTGATTCATGAAACTGACAGAAAATGCAGGTAGACAGTCCTTACACAACACGACTATGTTCTATAATAGGTTCTGTTATTATCCTCACGAAGAGTTGCAAAGTCATTAGCATATTAAAGGCACTGTAATGTTGGACTACGAAGAAACTAATATGTTGTTCAAGTCAGTGTTTCTGGAACATATTTAATCAAAGACCCCTTTGGCTAAGAAACAGTTATTTCTTGGAACATTTTTGGATGAAGAGCAGAGTTAGGGCCTCCTCTCACCTACACTGCAACTCTCAGAGTGCAGGTGGGTACAGCCTCCATTTGACCCTTGGCCAGACGCCCCTGTGCAGGGTCTGATTGCACCACAGACACAGCAGCCTATCTGGGAGAGGATAATTGGCAGTTGGGCCATCCTCACACCTTACTAACCAGCCTCTGAAAGTCCACACTTGTTATTTTAGTTTCTCTTCAGGGTAAGGCCACGCCTGTGAATGAAGGAAGAGAATGCTCCAGTGGAAAAGGTTGGAAACTGTGTCTAGTCTGGAACTTTCTGTACCAAATAGCCACCATGATGGGCTACTCAGGACAGGGAGATACTGACCAACTCTGGGCCTACTTATACCAATTCAGAAGCCCCTAAACACTTTGAAGAAGCAGATTGAACTGCTTTATTAAAAAATATAGAAGGAAAATGTACCAGCTAGGCACTGCAACAGAAGTTGATGAAAACTGGGAACAGCAGGAAGGAAAGCTGCAGGTCCGTTCCAGCAGGTCTACTGCTTGGTTTAGAGTCTGATTGTCTGGCGTCTGTTCTCTGGCTTTTGGAGTGGAACAGTTTTCCTGGAATATGCATTTGTTGAACTCTGAAAGGCCAGATCTCTTACGTAGATTAATTCACAGTTTCAAAGGTGCTTTGATGCTGGCAAAACATTCTGTTACTTCCAAGAGTTATTATAAGTGAAATCCTGGCCTGGACTGAGAGGTCAGCCTGTAATCTTATTTAAATCTTTTCAGACTTAGAAACTCTACAGTAGGTTAAAAATAGATCACATTTGTATATTTCTTCCTCCTTTCATCCCCTCTTCAAGGGCTGTGCAGTCATTTTTACCCAGCACAGATGTTAGCCAGATAAATTCTAGCACTTGTCACCTAGGAGTCTGCCAGTCCAAAAGTCATTTCCAAATGGGTTTTGGGGTGACGTTAGCCATAGGACTGAGCAGAGCCATTAAGCATTCTACATAATCAGTTCTAGAATTAGGAACAGAGGGCTGTCACTAAGACTGGTGTGTACTCTGTGGATTCATTTTAAGAGAAAACATAGGCCACAAGGAGGAGAGTTTTCAATAGTGCTGTCCCAGGGAGCTTGTGTCCTCCACCTTAGACTACACGTCCTGACCAGAAAAGACCATAGTGCTCAGGTCAGAAGAAGCTGCATGAGGCTAACAGGTCAGGCTGCTTATAATCCAAAGATAAAAACTTGCCCTTGATTTCAGAAGAGCCAAATTACTAAACATTATGTGTATGGTGCTGGCTACGGTTAACCGGTGCCAGCATTTCCATGCCCAGCAGAGAACACTACTACACTCAGGATTACCTCTTCATGGTTACTTTACCTTCATGAACATGCTGAATCCAGTTTTAAGGAGATCAGTGAGGCCTGAAGACACGTGTTCAATGTCAGCGGAATCTGGCCTCTCGGGTTGAAATATCTCCTCCACAACTTGCTTCAACAATGGCTTATAAGATGCCTGGAAAAACAAAATACTGTGAGTAAAGAGTTTGTTCGGTTTGTTTGGAGAAGGGACAGCTTTACAATAAAGAAGGCAAAACAAGTTTATTTTGATACTGAGCAGTGGCTATGGGCTGTGTGTGTGTGTGTGTGTGTGTGTGTGTGTGACAGATAAACACACTATAACAACATTGGGTTTTTAAATAAACTTTCGCTCCAATGCTCTAGCATGCTTTTCTGCTTCTCACGTTCCCTTCTATAAGCAAATATATCTTAGTAGAGCTACAATCATAGTATGACTAATTTCTCTACTTAAAATGACAATTTTATGCATGGAGTATACTGAGAAACAAAGTACTGTCTGATACAGACATGAAGATGGTCTCCAGCTTTTCCTGAACATTCTCAGAATTATGCTCTCCTCTGCTAGGAACTCCAATGTTACTTACAATGTGCTGTCAATAACCAAGCTTAAAGTAATCCCTCTTCCTTCTACAGAGCTCAACTCCCAAGCATGACTTGGTCAGGAAAAGAAGCTAAGATGGCATAAAGGAATCTGACCGAGGCCAGAAAGTAGACTATATAGTACCGTAAAAATTTCAGTAGAATCAGGGAGATGTTAGTTTGCAGTAGCTTCTGCAGTTTGATAAATGCTGCTGAACGCTTTCCTTTTCTGTGACCTGAATAACTGATCCATGTTTATGTTATACTGGGAGGCAGCTGCTTTATTGATCCCACACTTTTCTTCACCCCTTTCCTTAGTTCTTGCTACCAAGGTCTTCCTGTTTTCTTTTCCCACTTGGTGGACCACCTTCCTCCCAATCTTCTAGTCAGATATGGCACCAAGTCTGGGGCGTGAAGGGCAAAGAGGAAGGACTATCTTCCCTCAATGCACTCTCTGATCTATTAGAGCTTCAGTAAAGCCAGGTTCTAACAGGGCACAGTTGAGGCCTATCCTGTAGTAAGGTCTTTCTCTCTTTGATTGGTTAACAGTGTGACCTGTCTGTAGCATCTGTCAAGGATATTTAGTGTACTGACCTCATCCCTGGCTTCATCTTGCTTTTCTTCCAGTCATTTTTTTTTTTAACTCAAATTTTCCCTTTCCAATTTTCTTACTTAAAATAGCTTAGAAAAACAGCAAGGTATAAACCATCAAAATTGTCAATAACCATTCAGCAGGAATATAGCTGGCATCTTTCCCAGGGATAAGATGCAGGGAAAACTAGCATCTTCTCAGTTGGGGATACCAACTTTTTTATGTTTATTAGTCAAACAGACCACTGCTTGTCCAGAGATCTCATGGTTACATGATCATGAAGAGCAAAGCAGTGAACAGAAACAAAGGTCAGACAGGAATATTTTGAAAGCCATGGATCCACCTTGCTCATAAAGAAATTCCAATCAAAACTATGCCAAGATGGATTAAAAAAAAAATCAGACTACCAAAAAGTCCAAAAGTTTGAAAATACACTCTTTTGATGAGGCCACAGGGTAACAGGCCCTCTTATACATTGTTGGTGGCTTAATTGTTACAATCAAGGCAGAGAGCAATTTGGCAATACCTCTCGACATCACAGATGCATTTGATACAGCAATCACACTCCTAGTTATGTATCCTTTGCATATGCTCATGTATGCAAATGAGATCCAGAAAGGAGGTTCATTGTTTGTAATACCAAGATTAGAAACCACCCAACCACCATCAGTAGGGAGCTGCTTAATAAATGGGGTGCATCCATAGGGAGGAATGCTATGAAAGGGAGGAGGAAAGCTCTGCGCTTGTGTGGCAGAAACAAGGCGCAGAATAGAGTGTGAATGAAAAAAGCAAGGTGAGGAACACTGTGTATCATGGGCTAGCATTTGTGTAAAAAGGAGCAGGGGGAATATGAAAGTTTATATTTGCTGAAATATGCAAAAATAAACTCTGCTGTGAAACATAGGAACTATCAGCAGCAATGATTATGGGGTGGAGACCAAGCAAGGGAGAAAGGTGAGGAAGACAGGTCACACTGTATTGTTTATTTATTTATTTACGGCGCAGTCTAAAACACCACTACAAACAGCAAGAATGATCTCCTTCCTATTGTTAAAAATTAATAAATTATTAACAAATTATTAGAAATATTTTAGAATTATTAGATATTAGAAATTAGATATTAAAAAATTATTAGAAACAACTTATTAATAAAATACATTAATAAGTTAAAAATTAAATACTTAATTTCATTAATAGAAATCAATAAATTTTATTAAAATAAACTTAAATTGAAAATAATTTTATTAAAATAAATTAATAAAATTAATAAATATTAAAGCACACCAAAATATTAGTTAGGGTTATCTCTAGGTTCAGGAAGTAGAAGACATTTATTTTATTTTTCCAAATTTTACAAAATTAAGAGGACTACTTCCAGAATCATAGGATAATTTAATAAATATTATTTTAAATGTAAAAAAAGGGCACAGAATGGCCTCTGAATCCTGCAAATACTCTTCCCTGAGTAAGCTGTTTTGAATGCTCTTCTATCACCTTAGCCTTTCTGGACATTGACTCTCTTAAACTTTAATCTCTTTAAAGCTCCTCCACAAGAAGTCCCTTGGCCAATAATCTGCTACCTTATCAGGATTATCATCAAATACTGATTGACCTCTTCCTTGGTAATAGACTTCAATCTTCAGCCATGCACAGCTGGCTGAAAGACTACATTCTCCAGCCTTCCTTACAGATGGGTGTAGCCATGTGATTAAGGTCTGGGCAGTAAGATATAAATAGAAGGGTAACGTGAGACTTTCAGAAGTCTCCTTTTTAAAATGGAAGGATATGCTTTTCTCCTTTCCTTTGCTCTGCTGCCTGCAATGTAGAAGTGATACCTGGAGCTCCTATAGCCATCTTGGAAGACAGGGCATTCCTTAGAGATGGTAAAGCAGAGAGCTGGAGAAACCTTGGTCAGTGATGACTTGTAGAGCCACTATAACCATAACATGGACAGGCTAAATTAGTACCTACTTTACATGACACTATAAAATCCTGTATGTTTAAGCCACTATTTTTCAGATCTCTGTTACTTGCAACTGAATGAAATTCTGATAAGAAAGCATGAAGGGAGCATAAAGATATAAAAGGGTATTTCCTCCTTCCAGAAGCTTACTGTTATTTATTTTATTCATCTATTAAACCTCATTATATAAAATAACTTTAAGCAGAATCACAGAGAAATACACATAGGCTGTCATATTTGAGAGAGAAGAAAATATACCCCTGATATGTGTCCCTACCCAAATCTCATCTTGAAGTATAACTCCCATAATCCCCACATGTAGCAGGAGGCACCTGGTGGGAGGTAATTTAGTCATGGGGGCGGTTATACTCATGATGTTCTCATTATAGTGGGTGAGTTCTCATGTGATTCAATGGTTTTACAAGAAGCATTTCCCCCTTTTGCTCAGCACTTGTTGATGCCTCTGTGAAGAAGAGCATGTTTGCTTTCCCTTCTGCCATGATTGTTAAGTTTCCTGAGGCCTCCCCATCCCGGTGGAACTGTGAGTCCATTGAACCTCTTTTCTTTATAAATTACCCAGTCTCGGGAATGTCTTTATTAGCAGTATGAGAACAGACCAATGCAACCCCTTAACCCATAAAAAATAAAAAGATTGCCATTCTTCATAAGATGTACTGTACAAAAAGGAAGAGTAGTGATTCTGAAAAAGAGCTCATACACAGCACAAAGGTGGCTTTGTAATTAAGCTAAAACACTATACTCTGTACCTCCTCTGTGCAAGGCACAGTGTACCTGGGGTGACAGGATTTGTTCTCAGGGCTCCAGAGGCCCCAGTGTAGACTGGGAGACAGGGGAAAGCAGGAGATAGAGGGACTGGGGAAAGTAGAACACGAGGATCTCTCTCTTTCCCTTGCTCCACTTTTGACTAAATTTTGGGGAATGAAACATCCAGGAGAAAATGATGAGCTGGGTTCCCCTTGGGGGTGGTGAGCAGAGATTTAGAAGTGCTGTTCTTTTAACCTCTTCATTCTTGAGACTTTGTGATTGCTCTGTGCTACACTGGGAATGTTGGAAATCATTTTTGTTTTTTATTTTCTTAAGGTATGAGGGTGAACATGTATTTAGCAGGAGAAAAGAAACTATGATTTAAAATACAGAAAAGTAACAGCAAACACATCACATAATCCAGAAAAATAACAAATGTTTTTATTAACTGCCTGATATCCTCTTTAATATTCATTTCTTACATTTTTTGGTTACATTCTCTCTGATCTTTTCATATAACCCCAATTTTGAAATGACATTTTCTGTGGAAATGTGATAGTTCTTAAGCTATTGTCTCTCAACTCCAAACCCTCTCTTCTATAGTCAGTTCTCTGATGCTTTGCTGAGTCTCTGAGTCTCAGAGCGCTTTTGTGCTCTGCCAGCTAGGTCTGTTAGACTCTGCCAACAGGGGGCACTAGAGGGAGACTGGAAGATAGGAAGAACAGGCAGGAACTTGCTTCACTTGTATATTTGCAATTCCTGCCACCATCACCCTGGCAATGGCCTCTCGCCACTTGAAGCTGCCCTTCCTCTGGACTTTTAAGTCATTAGATTTAATAAATTACCTTTCTTTTTTTTTTCCCCAAGCTCAAGGTGGCATTTTATTTAGTAAGTAATCAGTATGCATAATTCTGTAATAGTCACAGAAGACGATTAAGTCTACAAACAAGACGAAACACAACAAATCTTGAACATTGGCAAAAACAGGTACAGATATTAACAGAAAAGATGAGATAATGAACATTGTAAAAATTTATTCTAAAATAATACTTTCCGTTAAAACAGTGCAGTAGAGGATGAGAGGGACACTCTGGTTTAATATTTTATCTAAAAGTATTAAGATTTTTTAAAAAGACATAAAATGAGAAAAAAAAAGGAGAGGGGCAAGAATCAGGGGCTAGAAAGGCAGAAAAAAATTACCTTTCTTGTTTAGGCTTTTGAGAGCTTTTTTCTTTACCTATTTTTAATTGTAACC